TTCTACAGGACTGTATGTGATTCGCTTTCATTTCAGATGAGACGTTAAACCGAGGTCCTGACTCTCTATGGTCATTAAAAATCCCATGGCACTTCTTGTAAAGAGTAGTGGTGTAACCCCGGTGTCCTGGCCCTCCATCAGCCATTACCCATCATCCCAATCATCCCCATTAACCAAATTGGCTCTACCACTGTCTTTTCACTCCACCAACAGCAGTGATTGTATGACCATACACAATAAATGCGCTATATACAGTTGAAGTCAGAATTATTAGCCCCCCTGTTTATTTTTTTTCCCAATTTCTGTTTAACGGAGAGAATATTTTTTTTCCAACACATTTCTATACATAATAGTTTTATTAACTCATTTCTAATAACTGATTTCCATTATCTTTTTCATGATGACAGTAAATAATATTTGACTAGATATTTTTCAAGACACTTCTATACAGCTTAAAGTGACATTTAAAGGCTTAACTAGGTTAACTAGGCAGGTTAGGGTATTAAGGCAAGTTATTGTATAATGATGGTTTGTTCTGTAGACAATTAAAAGAAATATAGCTTAAAAGGGCTAATAATTTTTACCTTAAAATGGTTTCTAAAATATTATAAACTACTTTTATTCTAGCCAAAATAAAGCAAATAATAATATCAGACATACTGTGAAAATATCCTTGCATCATTCTGAAAAAAAAAAAAAAAAAAAAAAATCTAAGGGGGGCTAATAATTCTGACTTCAACTGTAAATACACATTACATTAGATTTTTATTACATATTTCTTATTGAAAAACTCTTTTAAAACAAATGTAAATGCAAAACAATGATTAAAAAAATTATTAGCTTTTTTCAGTCTCACTCATTTTTACTTCTTGTACTGTAAATTCTGTACACTTTCTAACAGTAGTATATAATGCACTGAATATATGTAAGAAACACCCGCCTTATTTCCATGTTACAGACTGAAAAGTAAAAACAAATCCGAGGAAACGTATATGAATACAGAAATAAATACGGAAATAAATGCAATAAAAAAAAAAACTAAAATACAAAATACCCTTAAATGTATAATATAAATGGAAAAATAAAATATATATTTTAAAAATACATGCAGAAAGTAATAAATGAATTAAATAATAAATTAGTTTATATTAATAATGAATACAGTTGAAGTCTAAATTATTAGCGCTCCTTTGATTTATTGCTTTTATTTATTTTTTAATTATCTCACGTTTAATCCTGATGTTTAACAGCGCAAGGATTTTTTTCACAGTATTTCCTATATTTTTTTCTTCTCCAGACAGTTTTATTTGTTTTATTTTGGCTAGAATAAAAGCAGTTTTTATTTTTTAAACCATTTTAAAGTCAATAATATTGGCCAACTTAGGTTTTTTTTCCGATTGTCTGCAGAACAAGTCATTATTTTACAATTACTTGCCTAATTACCCTAACTTACCTAACTAACCTAAACCTAGTTAAGCCTTCAAGTGTCTCTTTAAGCTGAAACTGGGGGATATACGGTGGGGGGGGCTAATAATTCAGGAGTATATATAAATAATACCTGTGTATATATAAATACCAGTAATGCGGTGTGGTCTGATCTGGGTGCAGTTGATCAGCAGGGATGAGGAGGATGTTTAATGAGGAGCGTTTCCTGCTGTTTAGTCAGCAATGACAATGATAATGTTGAGAGAGTTGCAGAATGAAGTAAATGTGGCTTTTACACACTGAGAGCGTTGAGATCTCCCTTTGTTTTGCAGATCACTGTGTGTTTGCCTTCAGCACACGAGTAGACAGAGGCTTTCCTCTGTAATGCCACTGAAAACACTGTCTGTTTACCTCCTGCATTAATGGAGGCTTTCTCATTTCAAACACATGATCTCGCATAAACACATTATTGTTCCTGAAGAGTTTGCGGAGTATTAATTAGGCCTAACTGTGGCGGAGTGTCTCGTTTCAGTTACAGTTTTGATGAGAAGGATTGCACTTTATCACTTGAATCATTTCGTGGATGTTTTTGTATCTCTATTAAAGTATTATTCGAGGCCTTATTCAAATATTTTGGATAAGACAATGTGATTTTTTACAGCATACACATGCAGAAGGCATGTTCAATTCGATTTAAGTGTGTACTTTTACCTTTTATTATTATTATAACTTTGGATTTTGGATCTTTACTCTTTAAAATTGTTGCCGCCTTCTGTGTTTAGCACTTGGAGATTCCCTTTAAAGGCGCTGTAGAAAATAAAGTTTACTATTTTTTTATTATTACTTTAGTGTTGCAAGTGGTGTAAAAATCTAATGCAAATATATCGGTTTAATAGGGGCAGCACGGTGGCGCAGTGAGTAGTACAATCGCCTCACAGCAAGAGAGTCACTAGTTCAAGCCACAGCTGGGTCAGTTGGCATTTCTGTGTGGAGTTTGCATGTTCTCCCCGTGTCGGTGTGGGTTTCCTCCGGTTTCCCCTACAAGTCCAAAAAAAATGTGGTATAGGTGAATTAGGTAAGCTAAATTTTCCAAATGAGTGTGTATAGATGTTTCCCAGTGATGGGTTGCAGCTGGAGGGGAATCCACTGTGTAAAACACGCGCTGGGTAAGTTGGCGGTTCAATCCGCTGTGGCGACCCCAGATTAGTAAAGGGACTGGGCTGAAAAGAAATTGTATGAATATATCTGTTAAATAGTTTCATTTAGCATACACTCTACAAAATGCTGGGTATTCTTAACACAATGCTGGGTCAAATATGGACAAACCCAACGTTGAGTTAATTTTTGTCAATTCAAGTTTAATTAAACTTTTTAACCCAATGGTTGGTCATGTTTGATCCAACATTAGGTTATGACACCCCAGGATTTTTTGATTGTATATAAGTGTATATTCATGTAAAAATTTTTGTGACCTATATGCGTTAAAATCATACTAATGTTTTTACAAATGCCTTGTTGATGCCAGGGGAGAATGGCCAGACTGGTTCCAGCTGATAGAAAGGCAACAGTAACTCAAATAATCACTCGTTACAACTGAGGTCTGCAGAAGAGCATCTCTAAACGCACAACACATCCTACCTTAAGGCGGATGGGCAACAGCAGCAGAAGAACACACCAGGGGTCACTCCTGTCAGCTAAGAACAGGAAACTGAGGCTACAATTCACACAGGCCCACCAAAATTGGACAAAAGAAGATTGGAGAAACGTTGCCTGGTCTGATGAGTCTCGACTTATGCTGCGACATTTAGATGGTAGGGTCAGAATTTGGCATCAACAGCATGAAAGCATGGATCCATCCTGCCTTGTATCAACAGTTCAGGCTGGAGGTGGTGGTGTAATGCTGTGTGGGAGATATTTTCTTGGCACACTTTGGGCCCATTAGTACCAATTGAGCACCGTGTCAACACCACAGTCTACCTGAGTATTGTTGCTGACCATGTCCATCCCTTTATGACCACAGTGTACCCATCTTCTGATGGCTACCTCCAGCAGGATAACGCGCCATGTCATAAAGCGTGAATCATCTCAGACTGTTTTTTTTGTACATGACAGTGAGGTCACTGTACTCAAATGGCCTCCACAGTCACCAGACCCTAATCTAATAGAGCACCTGTGGGATGTGGTGGAACGGGAGATTCGCATCATGGATGTGCAGCCGACAAATCCTTAGCAACTGCGTGATGTTATCATGTCAATATGCAGCAAAACCTCTGAGGAATATTTCCAATACCTTGATAAATCTATGCCATGAAAGATTAAGGCAGTTCTAAAGGTAAAAGGGGCATCCAACCCGGTACTAGTAAGGTGTACGTAATAAAGTGGCTGGTGAGTGAGTGTATATTAATGCTGAACTTTGATCCCTAAATGTCTTTAAATATGTCATAAAATGCATGATTTAATAAATATGTTTGACAAGATTATTATTATTATTTTTTTGCATAAACAATGGTGGGTGTTTTCTTTAAATCATGTTAAAATATACGAAAGTCATCGTTTTGCTCAGGGAAAAATCATGCGATTAGGCTAATTTAATGTATGAAACAAAGCTGTATTACTTGTTTACTGTTTTAAGGATTTAAAATACATGGATATGATAAGAACTGAAAAAACTAATATGCTTTATAGTACTGCAGCATTGTATTGTAGATAACGTAACATTTTACCATGAAGCGGGTGTTCTGTCGACTCGTCCTACCGTGTCAGATTGTCCTACCTCCCATTCAAAGAGTAGGTAGCTCATTTTAATGACACATCAGAATTTGCTACCAGTGTAAATTGTAATGTGGAGTAGTGTGGTATAAAGCTGTAATAGGGTATATGCCAAGCTAGTGCTGTTCCCATGCTGATAAACTTTCGGTTACCTGTTATTGTTAGTTTTTTTTTCCATTTTAAAGGATCCTTATACAGCATCGATGTTGTAATGTAGTTAAAATACAATCAGTTAATTAGACTCTGGCATTCACTTATTTGCTCAAGCGTAAAACGAGACAAAAAGCCGTTTACTCGCACACGCCAGTCAGAATCAGCAGGCTAGCGCAGAAGCTCCATTGAGTATACTGGGGTAAAATAAATGCTCATATTTTAAAGACATGGCGGGGGGAAATGTAATTTAATGCAGTGCTTCTTGTACAATCTGAGACCCACTTTATAGCGCATACTACTCAGCCAGTGGAAATTGCTGATTTTTAAAGAAAACAGACCTTAAACGCACCGGATTTTGCAATGGCATACAGTTCACCGGAAGCGCTTAACCCATGTTACTGGCAAATTAAAAGTCCTATTAGCATGCTTCGGCATATACCCCATATCGCCTTAACCTACCTAACCACAACCCTAAGAATCATTCAGATACTGTGTTGCTAGTATAATCTGATGGGTGAGATAAAATGTTAAGGACAACGGTAATAACGGTTTTTAGTAGCCTGTTAAACAATGAAACTGAACTTATATACAGGGTCACCCCTAAATTAGAGTTGTTTTTGCAGTTTTGCCGAGTAGCTCACGTCAGGACATACTTATCGATATTTGTCTTGTTTTCTCTGGTCTCATGTCACTGTCAAACCGAGGCGCCATCTTCATCCCACACTCACCTGCGCGAGGTCTATGAATATTCATCAGCGCGCGGTCCCATTGGTCGATTGTTTGCGGACGTCTGATGTTAGGGCGGGAACAACGCTAAGCATCTATTTAATATTCATAAGCAGCCCTGTTGGGGCTTTAAGCGGCTTCACTGCAGCAGCAGAAACGCGAAGAACAGAGACAGACGACCTTAATTACCATAAAACATCATTACACAAGAAAACGAGCCAGAGATTTACAGTTTTTCTTGATTTCACAGGAGTTTTCTGAGGTTATGGTTTTATTCTCGACGGTCTAATGGATCTAGTGCAGTTTTATCACCCGGAATCCTTTTCCTTCCCTTCTGAACAGAACGCGTGAGTAACTTTGCTCATCTATAACTTTATTTGTAGATACTCATGCTTTAGTTGTGCTTAAATGTGGTGAACCTTTCTGTAAATGTCTATACAGTGTTAACCAGTTTATCCTAAAATATTGCTCCAATTATTAGTGTCACTGTAAAAGTAAGTGAAAGAAATAAGTAACAACAAAATACAGATATAGCTAACTCATAGATCATTTAAGGTTAACACATGTCAATAAGATTCCTTTGATATTAAATACATTTACTAACTAAAAATGAACAATACTTGTACATCATTTATTAAATATAGCTCAATCTTCACTACTGTAATATTAAAATCCAAATATCTGCTTGTTAAGATTACTTGAACAATGGGCGACTACATTTTTATTAACAAACATGAATAAATTCTGCAATAAATATATTGTACAGTATTTGTTCTTAAATACTTGTTTGTTAGTAAATATAGTAACCAACCTTACTATAAAGTGTTACTCATTTAAAGTTATGAAATGCTTAATATTTTAACAGAAACTCTATAATAGTCCATATTTCGTACTATATGTTCTATATTTTATGAAAGTATATTATGTATACATGCTTATTAAAAAATCAAGAAAAAAGGTTGCTGATCACAATCAAACCAAGATCACTGAGATGACTTTCCTGTTAGAATAAAAAAAAAATAGTTTTAACTTTGTTTCTGGGTTTTTAAAAGCACCAATGATAAGAAAGTGTTTGATGATTTCCATTTCCATTTATGCATTTGGCAGATTTACGCTTTTATGCCAAGTGACCAAATTTTACCTTTCCTGGGAATCGAACCCAAAACCTTTCGTTGTTGTATAGCTGGTTTTATATTCACACATTCAGACTTTCTTCATAATAATATAATTTACATTGGATGCGTGATCTTATGCAGTCTATGCAAATAGAAAAGATAAGATATACAGTTTGCGGTAATACTGAAAAATTTGACATCTGGCAACCCTTCCTTTTACACTTTAAAAATAAAAATAATACATAAATAAGCATGTATATATGTATGTGTATATGTATGCAAGTATATAGCTGGCTTATTTTCCCTGCCCCTGGCATAGTTATGAATTGAGAGTGTTTTTTTTTTTTTTTTTTTAAATATATATTATTTATTTTCTACTGTTGTACCCTTTGAGTATTTGTATTTATTTACTCTCTGTACTGTTGTTTTTTTGTTTGTTTGTTTGTTTTTCCTTAATGCATGAATATGTAATTATATTGTTTTATTCAGAGAGAAAGAAAACGTGAGCAAAATTGTATTCTACCACCACATTGGAGCAGTTGATGTCCAATGATTCTGTGTATCTGATGCTGTATCTCTCTGACTAACATATTTCAATAAAAAACAGAGTTAAACCATAATAATATAATTTCAAAAAGTGTTCTTTGCTAATCCCGATATTTAGAACTTGCAAAAAACATTTTTTTTCACATTTTCTTGTTGTTTTGTTTGCAAATTCTAAAGAGTGCAATCATATAAGCAGCCAATGACTCAAATAATGAGTCAAAAAAATTGTTGTTATATCATTTTTAAGTCATACTTGAATGTGATTTCAGACCGAATATCCATGTAAAGCAATATAGGGAGCGTGTCACAAGTTGTCACTGAACAAATGTGTGAATATAAAACCAACATTACCTTAATAAACCTTTCCATTCCTACACACTTAACACTTGTATTAACCCAACACAAGATCAAATATGGATCAACTCAGCAGTTGAGTTAAAAACTGTAATTTAAATTTAGGGTAAAAAATTATATTTATCCATATCTGTCTCAACATTATTAATGCAACCTAGCTTTTTTTGTTTTTAGAGTGTAGTGCCATGCTCTACTAAGAAGAACTTATGTACATTTAGCCATTTAGCAGACGCTTTTGTCAAAGCGACTTACAATTAAGGAGGCATTAAGGCTGGGCGATATGGATGGAAAATTCAATCTCGATAATTATTTTCTATTTTGAACAATAAATATATATATACACACACACACACACACATATATATATATATATATATATATATATATATACGTATATATATATAAATAAGTTGTTATGCTTCCAGGTTTAAAAGTGAACCGACGCCACAAAAATTAGAGGGTCACTTAAATGGGACAACATATTTTAGGCCGATAAATTTTCAGTGGTGGAAAATTCTGTGCATCTCTAATATTAACACACTTTTAGATTCCCACTGTTGCACATTTCTGCTGCGTGATTGGCTTGTAGATCAATATTGAGTAAAACAAAAAAGTGCAGTGCTTATCATTGTTATTGACATAAATTTTATCGCGATTTGTTATAATATCTTTTATTGGCTCAGTCCTAGGAGGCATTCACAAGCAATTCACACTAAAGAAATGCTAATTATCTGAAGGAACTGTTAGTGCTCAGAGAATTAGGTGATAGAGTTAGAAGGGGGGAATGTTTTTTTTTTTTTTTTTTTTTTAGAGAGAAGAGTGGTCATACAGGTGGTTTGTCAAACCCACTCACCTGTGCGAAGTTCACTACATAAATGCACAATTTTTATTTATTTAGTATTATTTTTTTTTGTATATTTATACACAGAGCAGGGGTGCCCAAACTATTTCTTATGAAGGGCCAAAAAACAAACTTGATTGAGGGTGTTGGGCTGAAGATATGCCAAACATTATTAAAGTTGCCATTGGTGATTTCCTAATTTATTTTAAAATAACTAAAACATTTCTTTATATTAATTAATGCAGTTTATATTTTAAAATATTTTATATTTTAAAATTCATTTTCAACTTATTACAGATACAGAAAAAAATCTAATTTATAACAGAATGGAGTTACATTAGTCAAGCTGCACATGTTTTTTTGCCTTGATTTGCTCTGTTAAAGGCAATTACCCCAACCCTCCCCATCATTCTCCCTCTCTTCTCATGTGGGATTGTGGGCCAAATCAAAGGTTACCATGGACTATTTTTGGCCCTAGTTTAGACATTTCTGATGTAGAGTGATTGTAAGAATGTGTCTGGTGCAAAAACTGGGGCAAGTGTCATTAAAAAGATGAAAAAGTGTCTTTCCTACAGGTGGTTTGTCAAGCCCACTCACCTGTGTGAAACTCACATTTTAAATGCACATTTTTTGTTTTGTTATATATATATATATATATATATATATATATATATATATATATATATATATATATATATATATATATATATATATAGAGTGATTGTAAGGATGTTTCGGTGCAAAAACTGGTGTGTCGGTTAAAAAGGTAAAAGAGTATTTCTACAGGGGTTTGTCAAGCCCACTTACCTGTGCAAAGTTCACTTCATAAATGCACAATTTCTTTATATATATATATATATATATATATATATATATATAGTGTGATTGTAAGGATGTTTCTGGTGCAAATATTGGTGTAAGTGTCGGTTAAAAAGGCGAAAGAGTGTGTTTCTACAGGTGGTTTGTCAAGCCCACTCACCTGTGCAAAGCTCACTTCATAAATGCACAATGTTTGGTTGGTTTTTAAATATTTAGAGTGATTGTAAGGATGTTTTAGGTGCAAAACTAGTGTAAAAGTCGGTTAAAAAAGTGAAAGAGTGTGTTTCTAGAGGTGGTTTGTCAAGCCCACTCACTTGTGTGAAGCTCACTTCATAAACGCACAATTTTAGTTTTGTTGTTTATGTATATGTATATATAGAGTGAATGTAAGAATATGTCCGGTGCAAAAACTGGTGCAAGTGTCGGTTAAAGACATGAAAGTTTGTGTTTCAACAGGTGGTTTGTCAAGCCCACTCACCTGTGCGAAGCTCACTTAAAAAATGCACAACTTTTGTTTAGTTTTTTGTACTGAGAGAGTGATCATAAGGATGTTTCTGGTGCAAGTGTCGGTTAAGGTGAAAGAGTGTGTTTCTACAGGTGGTTTGTCAAGCCCACTCACCTGTGCGAGGCGCATTCAGAATTATTATTGTTTTGTAGTTGTCATGTTGTGAAGTGCGGGAGAGAAAAGAAGAGAAGTACCATCCACAATTGATCAATCTGATGAACAGAGTTTGGGAAAATGATGACTCAAAAATGATGGAGTTAGCTGTAGTGTGAACTCTCACTTTAAAAGTGTTGAGAAACTAGGGGAAGAAAAAAATCACAAATGTAATCCTGCTGTATATTTATGTAAGAATTGAGGCAGAGCGCTTTAATAAGCACACGTTCTGGCAGCGTTTACTGACCGTCTTACAGCAATAGGATTTGAAATGTGTGATGGAGTCACAGGTAATTCCTCTGGATCCCAGACAAAAATCCTGATGGGCTTTAAGATCACGTTACTGGCTGCTGCAGCAGGGTGTGTGTGTGTGTGTGTGTGAGTGTGTGTGTGTGAGGGATAGAACAGGACAGGTGTGTTCAGGTGCTGTGTATGCTGTAAACACCACACCTGACATGGTGGGAAATCTGTAGTTGTGCTGATAAAAAGGAAAACCAGGGCACTAAAGTTGCCGTTCTGTCAGATTTCAGCTCGTTTCAGCTTTTTATGCATTGTAAAACCTGGTGAATTTGCTGTAAAAATCGCAAAAAGTTGGTTAGAACTATGTTTCAGTTAACCATGGTTAATAAAAATACCTTCATGGTAAACAAAAACTGTTTGTAGAGCATGCACAGCGTGACCTACACGAGGACAAAACATCATCAGGGTAACACATGTGATAGTAAAACCTTTACTCTACGAAAAGTATTAAAGTAAAAGAGTAATATTATTGCAGTTTAAAATGGCTGTTTTCTATTGAAATATATTATAAATGTATTCTATTCCACTGATGCCTGAGTTTTCAGTAATATTATAATGCATCACAGCCAGGAATAAATTACATTGAAATACATTCAAATAGAAGACAGTAGATTTAAATCTAAGGGTTTCTGAGCATCATAAGCACATTAAAATGATTTCTGCAGTTGATTCTATACGTGGGAATCACTATCAAAACATATTTTAAACACATTTGTTTTATGTTGTTTATACTGTAATTGTTTAAATCAGCCAAATCGATGAATGCCAAAGAGCTTTTACAGACTTTCAAACGTTTATGCTCATAAAGTAGGGAAAGTTCAAGAAAATGGAAGAAAAGGTGGCATGTAATAAACATTTATTCAGGACATCCATGTGACCAAACTTTTTTTTTAACAAGAGGATTTGTTTGAGATTATATACAGGCCTAGCTATGTGCATTAAATGTTAATGTGTCACATTTACAAAATCCAGAAGAACATAAAAAAACGTACACTGTCTTGTAATTGCTGCAATGAAATCTCCATATCGTTCTGTGATAATCCATGTCTTTACTGGCATTTCTGCGTTATAAACAACCGTAACATTAACATATAGATGTGCAGCAGTGTTGTTTTTTGGTAATCATCGACAGAACAAAAAAGAAATGCATCTCTTAAGAGCAAATTAAGTTTTTGAACCACACTATAGTAAAGTGTATAGCGCAGCTCTTTGTTAATGAATGCAACAGAATACTGGTCATTTGATCAACTGTAATAAATACTGTAACGCTAGTGTAAACTGTGGTGCATTGTGATGGTGTATAATTATAAAAATGTAGCCTATTGGATAATTTATATCTAGGTGTGTTGTACAATAATTAATGAGTATCCTTCAAAACACTATAGTTGTAATGGCGATCTATTTCTTCTAGTTCTCCACCATTTCCAAAGGGACTCGGCACAAAGGATTTTACGTGTAAAACCACAAACTTGCAATGCAACAGTTTACTTTACTTTTCGTTTGTCAGGAACAACAACAATCAAAAAACAAACAGAAGACCGTAGTAGTAGTAAAACTTTATTGTCCTTGACAGGAGATTTGTTATGGGCATCGCCATATTGCTGCAAACACTCACTAAAACAAGCAATAAAAACAATAGAAAATACAACAATTACAAAATTTATAGTGCTAAATTAAGATATACTCTTATTAAATAAACCCACTGACACAGATACAAAGGATTTCTTATAGCGGTTTAACCTACACTTTGGGACTCTATATCTTCTACCAGAGGGAAGCAGTTCGTACTGTGGAAACAAAAAATGAGTTGGATCTTTTACAATCCTTTCCACCTGATTGAGGACACAGTTCTCTTATAAAACTTGAGGATTAAAATATTCATCGTGCCCGACAATTTTCCATGCTGTCTTTCAGAGATGCATCAGTTTAGATTTACACTGAACAGATAGGTTGCCAAACCACACTGCCATACCTGGCAATGCTTTCCAGAACTGTTTTATAAAACAACATCATGAGCTTCTTATTTACTCCAAAAAGACGCAACCTCCGTGAAAAATACAATCTCTGTTGTAAACGAGAACAAACCCACTCAATGTGTGTTTTCCATGTGAAAGAATTGTCGATGTAAATGCCCAAGTACTTACAGGTTTCTGACTGAGTGATACACTGAAAAAAAATATTCAGAGATGACTCCTTGGATTTACTCAATTTTTTTATGTAAGGTGGTTGTAAACAATTTATTTGTGTTGAATTTAAACAAACAAATTAAGTTGAACATTATTAAACTTAATTTGTTTGTTTATATTCAACACAAATAAATTGTTTGTAACAGTTCTGCATGCAACACTTTTTTCAGTGTAGGATGGTCATGTACAACCACTTGACGATTGTCATTTACACTTTTCCAAGCTTCAATATAAAAAATGGTTTTGAAGAACGGTCAACAAGCCCCTTCCTTCTTTCCCCTTTATTTTCCCTGTTGCTTACGCATACATATGACATATGGCATTATTGAGCATATGAAACGTCATGTACATAATATAATATACTAAAAAATACACATTAAATGCTGTATTAAATAGCAATAACTATATATCTCAATACAAATAATATAATATAATTGAAAAATATTGGAAATCTCCTAGTGCTCTTAATGGTTATAGTACTTACTATAATAGCTATCTACTGCCTCGATGACTGGCAAATATATTTGAGCTCGGTAGAAAACTCGTCCCTCTTCATGATATAAGGATCATGCCCAGTTATGTGGTTATCTTTTTTGAAATATGCTATACATTGCACAAACCATTCAGTTTTTACTTCCTGCCCTTTATCTGAATTTCACGCATCACCAGAACCATATGATTGAAAACAAGCTACTGTATAGTGTCGAGTGTGACATGATCCTTCGGAAATCATTTTTATGTGCTTATGACGCTCAGGAAAGCTTTGTTATTAACAATAATGTCAAAAAAAGTTATGCTGCTTACTTATTTTGGGAAATTTTTCAAAACCATAGATTTTCCCTTTTACATTTTGATAAATATAATAACTTATTGTAACATAATATAATGATGCTGAAACCAAATACTGACCCCAATCTTTAGTAGTAATGTAAAATCCCGATAAAAGCTGATTCCAGCGACGTTCCAGGGACAGAAGAGTCTTCGCTGAGGCCATCTTCCTGCCTAAACCAAGGCGAATGAAGCTCTGCACAAGACTTTTGGCCAGCGGAGAAATTAAAATGGTCGTGCCCAACTGAGTCTGGTTCCCTCAAGGTTTTTTTTTCTTCACTCCCATCAGGTGAAGTTTTTTTTCCCTCTCCGCTGTCGCCACTGCCTCGCATGGTTCAGGATTGGTAGAGCTACGCATCGATGAATTGGCTCTTCAGTGTTTGAACTCTCAGTAATGATTAAATCACACTGAACTGAGCTAAACTGAACTGAACTGAACTTAAACACTAAAACCTGAACCACACTGTTCCAGTTACTATGACCATTTATGTGAAGCTGCTTTGACACAATCTACATTGTAAAAGCGCTATACAAATAAAGCTGAATTGAATTGAATTTAATTGATTATAAACTGACTGTTATATATAAAAACACAACTTTAATACAACTTCCTTCATTCATTCATTTTTCTAGAAACTACTTAGTAAAATATGCCCTTTCATCAGGATTAAAATAAATCAGTAGAAATGAGATTAAAACTATTATGTTGAAAAATGTGTCGAAAAAAAATCTCCATTAAACAGAACTTGGTGAAAAACGATCAAAAAGGATTCAAATTGAATTTAACAGGGTTAATAATTCTGACTTCAACTGTATATGTTTAAAAATGTCTCTCTTTTGTTTATTTCTAAAGCTTCATGGACATGATGTCATTCAGCGGACACTGTCCCCCTTATATTAAGACCGAACCGTCCAGTCCGTCCTCACTGTCAGATAGTCTGACCCAGCACAGTCCCGGAGCCTCATCAGACGCCGGGAGCAGCTACAGTTCAGGACCTAAAGGAAACCTGGCAGGCCTGGACTCTCCGGCATCGTACCTGCGCAGTGCCCCCTGCAGGCTTCTGGAGGAAGCGCAGGCGAAGGGTGAATACGGGCTGAGCTCAGGCCCCAAACGTCTGTGTCTGGTGTGTGGAGATGTTGCGTCTGGATTCCACTACGGGGTGGCTTCATGTGAGGCCTGCAAAGCATTTTTCAAACGCACCATCCAAGGTTAGGAGTTTTTTGAACTTTAAAATGTGCATTTTTTATGCAATGTTTGACATAATCTTAACTGAAACATGAAGAGAGGGTGGGACATAGAGTAGCTCCTCCCTTTTAAAAAAAAACCAGCCAATAGTGTTTTGTTTAATCACAGCTTTGTCAGTGAGAATGGTTGAGCTCAAGCACATTAACTGAAAAGCAAACAAGAAGTGTATTGAAGGGGGCGGGGCATGTCAGATACTAGAGAGCATGTGATTGGTGAAGATTTGATGAGAAACTGAAATATCAGGTGACAGGGGAAAAAAACATTGATCCATTTCAAGATCTTTTAAACACAAATTTTGTCACTGTTTTGGAATACACTAGCTAATATATATCCTTAAAACTAACAAACTGAAACGAACACCTACAATTTTTAGACATCTACGTTTTTCATTTAAAATTGTAATTTTTGTGTTTTTATCATTTTATATATATCTTTGTTTTTTTATTGTTGATTAAGGCCCAATCCCAATTCTATTTTTGTACCTCTTCCCCTCTTCCTTGGCCCTTGAAACAGAGTGTGAAGTGAAAGGGCTTCAAAATTACCCCTAAGAATTGGGACAGCACTACAGCACCTGCACACGTCATTATATGTCATCGTGATCTCCTTTTTCATATGAGATCAGATGATCGTAACAGCTGTAGTTATTCCAGTTGTGCTATTTTTGGGTATTTATCTTCAGGAAATCAATGAAGGCATATAATTTACACCCTGGCCATATTCATCTTTGTAAACACAAAAAAAACAACATTAACATTATAGACGACACTGTAAAAAGCTCATTCTCAGCCATTAGACATTACTGACAGGGTATTCGAGTGTCATCGAGTGTCAGAATGTTGTGGGTCTGCTGTACAGCAGTTATGATTAGAGATTTTAGATAGCGAAATTTAGCTGGTTTTATTTTAGCTTTTTTTTTTTAGAGCATGATGGTAAAACATGAACATGGTTATAAATATATTAAAACGTGTTTGTTTTTTGTAAAAATTCGTAATAATGACAAAAATACTAATTTGTGCATCTCTTTACTTGTGGGTGCAGCTCTGGCAGGTGTATTCTGGGAAATTTTCTTACCCCTTGGTTTTGAGTGTGGTCCTAAAAAATCTTCATTCGAATGGGTAACTAGCCCTTCCCCTTAGCCCTACACTTTCAAGCTAAAGAGAAAAGGGGAAGGGCTAAAAAGTAGAATTGGGATTGGGCCTTAGTCTTTAAATGGTTTTACATTTATTTTGAGCTATTTTAGAGCTTCAGCTTATATTATATGAAAATTATGATTTTTTAAATTAAATTTTTAATTGAGTTATCTTACACTACCGGTCAAAAAGTTATTTATAATTTTTAACATTAGTATATTATATATATATTTTTTAAAGAAGTCTCTTCTAAAATAAGACAAAAATTAAATTGATAAAAATTATGAAATATTATTTAGGAATTATTAAACAAACATTTATTGATCATTAAACCAGCACATTAGATAGATTTCTGATGGGGGCGGGGAATGAACATATTTATTACTAAATATGTTCATTTGGAGCTGTTTTATTGTAAATAAACAAGTGGTCAGTAATATGTTTTATTACTATTATTTTACAAAAGAAAAATAAATATATACATTAGCAGTAAATACATTAGCAAACAGTTCAGCTTATTAAAATTAATAGCTGTTATAATGAAATAGAATCAAGCTATCAAATCTCATTAGCCGTTTCTTCACTGTATAACTTACACATTCTGATTAAAGAGCAGCGAATGAATCTCTCATTTATTTAGATTTTTTTCTGTTTGATTACATTAAATAACTGGTGTCACTTTAAAATGCACACATCTAGCAATATAATGAAGGCATTCAACTGCTTCCCTAACTTTTTATGCTCATTTAAGATGAAAAAACACCAAGATCGACATCTTTAGATATTATTATTATTTATGTGTATATGTCTGTTTAAACACGCACCCAAAAGCCAGACTTTCGCTGCGCTTCAAATTGCATGTGCAGAATCCGTTTAGCAAACAGCGTCTATTTATCACTATGCATCATTATATAACCGTTTTGAGAATTTCATAGGAGGTGTGACGGCACTTTTAATAAAAAGGAAGGGGTATCGTGCCGTTTTTATACTTATTTCAAAGTGTTTTCTTGCCTAAACAAAGTGAAAGCACAGAAAAGACTCACATTTAAAAGCAGGGGCGGCCCCTGGTAGTTTGGCGGTATGGTTTGCATTTAGAGAGGTTCAGCTCTTTAATGTTTCTTACCACCCTTCAGAAAGAGACTGAAAATACAGGAGTAATATACCTTTACGGGATGATAGCGGGATAGAACTGTAAAATACGGGAGAATCCCTGGGAAAAATGGGAGGGTTGACAGGTATGACTAGATATCGCATACAGACTGTGTGTGTGCGTCTATAGCGCCACCACATTTGTACAGACTCCCAGGACCAAAGTCATTCAACCGCACTAGTCAAGACTAAAGCCAATGTGAAGATGCTGGACTTTAGTGCTGCGTACGGGTGTAGTATTGAGCAAACAAAGAAAACAACGCATAAAAGCAGAACATTTCTTAGGGTAGATTTAGTTTTTTACGATTTTCTGTATGTTATGAACTTTTGTGCTCAACAAGTATTAATGATAATACAGTTAGTAGCACCAACTTGCACTTAATACCAGGCTTATGCTTGCTTTGTTGTATTAAATCAGCAAATGTAACGGAGGCCAGCTAGTGAAGTGCTGTGCAGGTAAACAGAGCAACTGACTCTCATGCTGAAGGTTGCCGGTTCGATCCCAGCTAGGAGTGGGTTGGGTGGTGTAGGACCGGCAGGGTTACATTGGTGGTGTGACCCAGAGGGGAGTGAGGTTTAGGGGGGATGAGTGTAGAGGCCACGGTCTTTAGCTTTCTTGTTAGAGCAACTGACTTCCATGCGGAAGGTTGCCGGTTTGATCCCAGCTTGGAGCAAGTTGGGTGGTGTAGGACTGGCGGGGTTACACAAACAATGTAAATGAAACATGACAGCAAGATGCTGCAATGCTAGAAACTTGTATTATTGTCGGCTAAGAGAACGAGTCGTTACGGAGATTCATTCACCAACGAATTGCTCCCTCCGTTAGAATGAGAAGTGAAGCGGGAGAGGGGGGTGTGATCAGATTAGATCGGATTAGATCACATTTAACAGGGAGGGAGGATAATACATTTCCATACACACAAACACACGCTCTTTGTCAGCGATGCCCGTGCGGTCACTGATCCATCGATGTAGAAAAGTGATGTAAAATTATGATTTTCATAATTTAAAAAAATATTTGCATACTGACCAGCAGGAAAACTCCAGATCATAGATATATATATATATAAGGGATGTAACAAAATTGTAAATACCGTCATACCTCAATAGCAATTTCTTTCAATATTACCGTGGTTGTGACTCAATAAAATCATAGGTCTTTTGGTGGAAAGTTTGCTCAAGCGAATGGGAGGTAGCGGAAACTACAATTCTCATCAGCCTAGATGCAGCATCATAGATCCAGTAATGCAGAAATGGAGGGTGCTGCTAGTAGTGGCAAAGAAAAACAGCTAAAAATGGTCAAACCTAAAGCGGGTTTTAAATCAGATGTGTGGAAGCCTTTCAGTTTCTCTCTAAAAAGAAACAAGAAAGAAGAAACGGTGACAGAAAAAAGGGTATGCAGGCACTGCCAGACTGTGTTGAAATACAAGTCGGGAATACGACTAACATGATGGGGATTCTTTTAGCAGAACACAGCACACTGCTCAGATTAATGGAGACATTGACTTGTACCACCAAGAGACCTCTATCTCACTCATGGCTTGTCCTTTCGAGTGGTATTTTTTTTTTTTACGTGGTTTAATATTTTTTGATATCAAAATTGAATAATTTAAGTTCCTGTTTGAAAGTTTACAAATAGATAATTTGTATGTCATTGATCTGTTCAGTGTTGAGGTAACCTAAACATTCTAGCACTTTTTTTGAGTCTCTTCAATAGTTTTGTTTTTCCTTTAAATGATTCAATAAAAAACGTACCGTGCCATTCATACCGAGGTATTACCGTATCATGAAATTCTGATACTGTTACATCCCTAATATATATATATATATATATATATATATATATATATATAAATGTATGTGTGTATATCTCTGGCTCTGGATGGCCACAGTCCTCTGCTGCACCTTGGTCCCAAATTCATTTCAAAGGAGCGCTACCCTGTAAAATGGCGGCTCTATTGACGCATTCCTTTCAATCTTCCTACATCAAATGTAAATATCCATGGTTTCTACACACTTTTGTTTACATGCCTTGTAATACACTCTCTAATGATGTCTAGTGTGCTGCAGAATGGGAAATGTGTGTGTGTGTTAGTGATGTTTTTTGATGATTCTGGTCCTGATGTTGCGTGTGTGTATGTGTCTGTCCATCAGGTAACATAGAGTACAGTTGTTCAGTCAGCAGAGACTGTGAGATCACTAAACGCAGGAGGAAGTCCTGTCAGGCCTGTCGCTTCACCAAGTGTCTGTCTGTGGGGATGCTGAGAGAAGGTGAGAGTTCAATATTCAGTCATTTTTCTTCGGCCTAATCCCTTATTTATCAGGGGTCGCCACAGCGGAATGAACTGCCAACAATTCCAGCATATGTTTCCACGCAACGAATGCCCTTCCAGCTTTTAACCCAGCCTGGGAAACACCCATACACTCACACACGCTCATATACTATGGCTAATTTAGTTCATCCAATTCACCTATAGTGCATGTCTTTGGACTGTGGGGGAAACCGGAGCACCCGGAAGAACATGAGAACATGCAAACTCCACACAGAATTGCCAACTGACCCAGCTGGAACTCCAACCAGCGTACCGTATTGGCTTCCTGAGGCAGAGCGGGAGGACACACACACCAAGCAGCAGCAGGGGAGAGCTGCGCCAGTCACTGAATCCAGCGTATAGCTGTCCGCCACATTCTGTCTTTATTTTATGCAATGTGTTTGTCATAAAGTTATCTGTGGTTCAAGTGACTGCATTCTGTGTTTAGCTTTTCGCTTGTACGGTGGCTCTGAACTGTCTAAACACCTTTCAAAGAGCTTTTTTCGGATGCGAAAAGTGTAGAAAAGTGAACCTGGTTTGTTTCGTTTTTTTATGATGGACGAAAGTTTCGAAGACAGTTAGTCAAAATGGTTGACAACGAGAGGTCGAAATTATTTTTTAACATGCAAAAATTATGGACGAAAATTTCATATTCAGTGTGCAGTGACCTTTAGTCTGCTTTATACCATGATAATAAGTGCTGAATACTTGAGCTCATCATCATGATTTCTGTCCTGTAGGATGTAATGAAGACCACAACTCCCATGATTCCATACTTAATTACAGCCTTATGAAAAAAAACCTTTGTTTATTATGAATACATATACGCAGTATGTCATGGTGAAAATGACATGCTGCGCCTTTAAAAAAAGATTTTTAGAAAAAAATAGAGGGGTGCAAATTGAGAGTAAAAAACATACAGGCAAAATCGAATGAATTCCCGAACTGTCCTTTTAAGCGTTTTATTTTTACTGTGATCCATCAGGATTATTCTCATTATATTTTCATTACTGTAATAAACATATTTTTAAATTAAGATGAGGATAAGATAAATGCATTTTAAAGAATAAAGTTTATTTTAATTTAAAATGAAAATCTTTGAGTGGTTCAGTCTTCTGTGCAACCCCTGATGAATAAAGGGACAAAGCCGAATAAAATTTAATGAAAAAGAATGATTACAGGAAATTATATGTATATTTAAATGTGTATTGTGGTTGTAAATGCCTTTAATTCTCTTAAAGAAGCACTCCTTTTTTGGAAATAGGCTCATTTCAACTCTCCTAGAGTTAAACATTTGAGTTTTACCATTTTTGAATCCATTCAGTCAATCTCTGGCTCTGGCGCTTTAAGCTTAGCTTAGCATAGATAATTGAATCGGATTAGACCATTAGCATCTCATCAAAAATAACCAAAGAGTTTCTATAATTTTCCTTTTTATAGCATGACTTTCCTATAGTTATATTGTATGCCTTGGCTGCAGCAGGTGTAATGATGTTCTACTGTACCTGAAAATAGTCCCCAGTCCAGCAACAGCACTTTGTAATATCATTGCATCTGCTGCATGCATCGAAAGGCAGCAATGTTGCCTGATTATTATGTCAGAAAGAAAGTATAGCTATTAGCCATATCAACCTAGCAACTTTTCATTTCCCATCAGTCTTAGCACACAATGTAACTACAGAAGCATCAAATAGCAAAAATATGGAACATCTTTTAAAGGGAGATGCTAATGGTCTAATCCAATTCAATGATCTATGCTAAGCTAAGCTAAAAGTGTTCCTGTCAGACCCGGAGATCGGCTGAAGAGACTCAAAATTGGTTAAACTCATCTGTTTGACTCTCGAGGAGTTGTAACATGAGCTTATTTTCTCAAAAAGTGGAGTGTTCTTTGTAAAGCTTGACTTATTATGATGATTGTATTGTTTGTTGCTAGTCATTATTTGAGGTCAGCATTTTTATTCTCTGCATCAGAACGGAGCTGTTGTACCATTTACTGCTTTATACAAACAAATTGTTTAATTTCTTTCTTTTTTTGATGATGTGGGCAAGTTCTTGACAGGTTTTGTGAGGCTTTGACAAGTTTACAGACAATGGCACAATGTATTCAGCGCAGTAGATCTTTTGGTTTATTTTTCTGCGGAAGATTAAACACTCACATCATGGGCTTTTGGAAAACGCAGCTGTACTCTAGTGCTTTCATATACGCAGCCGCAAAACTAATAATTATATTCTTTTAAAAGTGAAATAGTCAGCAAATTGGCAAAGAGTGTTAGATTAGTGCAGGTGTGGAGCCGTATTATTGCTGCCCTCATTTTGTTTCAGTGCACCTGCTTTTTTAAAATGCTGCCAAAAAAAAGTATAAAGGCAAACAGAAAAAGTTGTTTCTCGTTTCAGTTGGCTGTTTATTTTAGTCTGTTTCATTATGCTTGTTCTACTTTGCAAACACGCTTTTTTCCCTGATCCCAAATCTGCATTATTAGATATGTAGAAATAAACTTCTTTTGTTTGTATATGATGCAAAATAAATTAAAGTAGTGGCCGAAAAACGTGTTATTATGCAATATAAATATATGAACATCATTATTAGATAAACTTGCTCGGGAAGTAAAGTCAAGACTTGGCATTATGTAATATGAGGCAATAAGTAATGTTATGCGATACACTCATCGGCCACTATTTTAGGTACACTTTACTAGTACCGGGTTGGACCCCATTTTGCCCTTTGAACTGCCTTAATCCTTTGTGGCTAAAGCTGCGTCCCAAATCGCATACTTATGCACTATTCTATGCCATTTTGTAGTATAAATAGTGTAAGTAGTGTGTTCACACTGAAAACTCTAAAAATAATAAGTGCTCTTTAATTACCCGGATGATGCACTCATTCAGCCGCTAAAATGAAGTGTGTAATGATGGACACTTCACGCACTCAACGACAGCAGGTTTGCTTACGTAGCGGAAGGGGCGAAGCTATTGGACGCACATGTTGAATAACTTTATTTATTTTGGATGGTGAAAGCAAAATTCTCCTACGAGAGTGATTATAGCGCCTCCTGATGGTGAATGCGGTTATACTCACGGCAGGTATTATTTGATAATTCTGTCGTTTATTTCACTGATTTGGCAACCGTCAAACGTCATCAGGGAAACGGTTTGAATTTCCGTTTAGTAAAAAAACATTAGTGTGCCATTTGGGGGACAACACTACATACATATACTATCCTGTTGAGTGTGTAAGTGCATAAGTACATAGTGCATGAGTGCATAGTGTATAGTGTGCCATTTGGGACGCAGCTATAGATTCAACAAGGTACTGGAAATAATCCACAGATATTTTGGTCTATATTGACATGATAACATCACACTATCATGCTGCAGATTTATCAGCTGCACATCCATGATGCAAATCTCCTGTTACACCACATCCCAAAGGTTCTTATTGGTTTGAGCTCTGGTGACTGTGGAGGCCATTTGAGTACAGTGACCTCATTGTCATGTTCAAGAAACCAGTCTGAGATGATTTGTGCTTTTTGACATGGTGCATTATCCTGCTGGAAGTAGCCATCAGAAGATGAGTACACTGTGGTCATAATGGGATGGACATGGTCAGCAACAATACTCAAGTGGCATTGACACAATGCTCAGTTGGTACTAATGGGCCCAAAGTGTGCCAAGAAAATATCCCCCACACCATTACACCACCACCAGCAACCTAAACTGCTGATAAAAGGCAGGATAGATCCATGCTTTCATGATGTCGATGCCAAATTCTGACCCTAACATTCAAAAGTCGCAGCAGACTCATCAGACCAGGCAACGTTTTTCCAATATTCTATTGTCCAATTTTGATGAGCCTGTGTGAATTTTAGCCTCAGTTTCCTGTTCCTAGCTGACAAGAGTGTGGCACCCTGTGTGGTTTTCTGCTGCTGTTCAGATTCAACATGTTGTGCATTTCAACTGCAGCAGATCGTCTTGACCATGTCACATGCCTAAATGCAGTTGAGTTGCTGCCATATGATTGGCTGATTAGAGATTTGCGTTAACAAACAGTTGCACAGGTGTACCAAATAAAGCGGCCGGTGAATGTAATGCTGTCAGAGAGTAATCTTTACACATTAATTTATACAGTTTAGATGAATATTTTTGTACTTTTTGGTTGCTTTAAAGATTAATATATAAATCATATTATTGCAATTGGGTTTAATATCATATCAAGTTGGGCGACGCGGTGGCGCAGTGGGTAGTACGGTTGCCTCACAGCAAGAAGGTCGCTGGTTTGAGCCTTGGTTGGGTCAGTTGCCATTCCAGTTTGCATGTTCTCCCCGTGTTTGTGTGGGTTTCCTCCGGGTGCTCCGGTTCCCCCCACAAGCCCAAAGACGTGGTATAGGTGAATTGGGTAAGCTAAAATTGACCGTAGTGTATGTGTGTGAATGAGTGTTTGTGGGTATTTCCCAGTGATGGGTTGCGGCTGGAAGGGCATCCGCTGCGTAAAACATGTGCTGGATAAGTTGGAGGTTCATTCCGCTCTGGCGACCCCGGATTAATAAAGCAACTAAGCTAAAAAAAAAGAAAATGAATGGATGAATCATATCATGTATTTTCCTGTACTGGGTTGCAGCTGGAAGGGCATCCGCTGTGTAAAACAGATGCAGGAATAGTTGGCGGTTCCTTCCGCCATGGTGACCCCTGATAAATAAGGCACTAAGCCGAAAAAAAAATTAATGAATATTATAATAAATTGTAATAGGCATTATAATTAACATTATTTTTAGAATTGTAATTTACATTGTTATAGCCTTAAGTTACTGATGTGCCAATTAATAAACAAACAAACAAAAAATACATAGTTATTATGTTAGCTTGAGAAAGCCAACATACTGTTATGCTACTCTGTCTATGAAAACAAACGTATCTCCTCCTAGGCCGTTCATGCCACAAGGCCCAAATGTGGTCAAAATGTGCCTTCTGCATTCAAGATTGTTGCTATATCTCCTCATGCCTGTAAGACTTATTGTTTTTTTAATAAAAAATGTTAAATATTAAATTTTTATAATTTGGCCATATAAAAAAATTATACAAGCCCCAAATTTGGCCTAAAGCTGTATTAAGATGTTGTAGATTTTGTTGCTATATCTTTAAGGTTTATCAGACTTATAGTTTTCCAATAAGTAATTTTAAGCATTATTTTTCTTAAAATATGGCACTCCATATTTTTTACTGATATGGCAAGCCATTTTTGACTTAAACTCCGTATTTTTACTGATATGGCAAGCCATTTTTGCATGTATCACTTTCACACTTATTAAGCATTGTATTTTCAAAAAAATACAGCAAGCCATTTTTACATAATGTTCATTCCCTTAGTCCCTTTATTAATCTGGGGTCTCCACAACGGAATGAACCGCCAACTTATCCAGCATTTGTTTTACACAGCGAATGCCCTTCCAGCCGCAACCCAACACCAGGAATACATAATGTTCAAGTCCAGTTTTTGACACTCATAAAGACTGTCATAGAAACATCAGGGTTGATTTAGATCACTCATATTGCCAAGAAGCTTTGATGTATCATCACTAACCTGTCAAATGTCCCCATAGCAATAAAACAGTATAACCTAGCAACCATTTAAAAATGGCAATATCTCTACATCAGAACATTGTAGGCACCTGGGCATTGGTTTGTTTGACTCATGCTAGCAAATGGGACTTCCTGTGTACTATGCATGGTAACAATGATAATGGAAGCCAAGTGCTAATAACGATTAGCTACATGCTATGAATGATTATCTAAATGCAACAACATATGCTAGAAATGCCTACTAAGTATTAGCATTTGATCAAACATGTACTCGAGCATAGCAACCACCTAACAATGCCATAATTGTTTTAGCAACTGCCTAGCAACCACTTAGCAACCGCCACCGTGCTTTCTGCCAACTGCCATTCCTAGTCCTAGCGCAGTCACGTTGGCTTTCTTAAGCCAACATCAAAGTTTATCAATAAACTTTAAGTTCTAGTTAAGCTTACATCGCAATGCTTTTAATAATAACAACTTCAAAACTAAAAAATAGGTCTGGAATTTATACTTAAATCCTTTTATAATAATGTACATTGTAGTGCACTTTTTATTTTCTTTTTTAAACATTATTTAAATAAATAAATAAATATTTCTGACTGTCCAAACCTTTTTTAAATCAAATGGTGTTTTTGTTCTCATCCCAGAATGAGCATGAATTTTCTTCTGTGTGTGTCTGTCTCCAGGTGTGCGTTTGGACCGGGTTCGAGGAGGACGGCAGAAATATAAGAGGAGAATTGACTCCGATTCTAGTGTTTACCTCAGTGTGCCACTTCCTCACAGAAAACCAGGTACAAAGTTTCACTTCATTCAGAAACATCTGCCAACTATTCATTCATATATTTTCCTTCGGCTTAGTCCCGTTATTTATCAGGGGTCTATACTCTATACTCTTGAGAATATAACATGTCTGTTGTATTTTATCAGCATGCTCTGGTAGTGTTTTGCTTGCTCTGCAAAATAGTATTTAAATTTTCTTTCCAAAAGGAGCTGCATACTTTAATAACACAGTGTAAGAAAGCAGCATCTGTTCATTTGTTTAGTGTCCTGCAGCGCTCATGCTGAAAATAAGGTGGTGACGCTTCTGCTGGGGGCGGAGCCAGAGAAGGTGTGTGCCATGCCTGACCCCGCCCTCCCCGATAGTGACATCAAAGCCCTGACGACCCTGTGTGACCTCGCTGACCGAGAGCTGGTGCTGAATATCAGCTGGGCCAAACACATACCAGGTACAGAGATATACACACACAGATAGATAGATAGATAGATAGATAGATAGATAGATAGATAGATAGATAGATAGATAGATAGATAGATAGATAGATAGATAGATAGACATATACACACAGACATATCTATACACTTGATTTTATTTACAGGCATTATCTTTACATATATTTTTACACATGTACACACATACATGCACACACAAAGAAACACAAAGAAACAAACACATATATGCATACATCCACTCACACACACACACACACACACACACACACATATATATATATATATATATATATATATATATATATATACACATGCACACACACACATATATACACTCACAAACGCACACATTTATACGCAGATGAATACAAACATCCACTGACATATCTATGCACACACACATAAACACACCCACATATATGCGCACACAAGAACACACCTATACACACACACTCACACACACACACACACACACTCACTCATAGACACAGTAACATTTATACACGTACACACATATGCACTTTATATAGGCACCATAAGTTTTTATATTCACACACACACATGTTTGTTTTTGTGAAAAGTGGGGACATTACATAGGTTTCCATTAATTTTATACTGTCCAAACCGTATATTATATTGCCCTTTTTTTATCTGCTGTTTGTTTTGGACACAGAGGGGTGCAGTACTGTTAGTTCAGATGAGATTGGGAAAACAGCTGTGTGTTGCTGTCAGAAACGCACACACACACACACACACACACACACACACACACACACACACACACACACACACACACACACACATACCTTCGGTGACACTAGCATTTGTTGGAATCACTATGAAACATCCATACACTGTCTCACACCCACACAACGGACAATTTAGCTTACCCAATTCACCTGTAGCGGACTTTTGGGGGAAACTGGAGTACCTGGAGGAAGCCCACGCCAACACAGGGAGTCATTGCAAACTCCACACAGAAATGCCAACTGGCCCAGCCAAGGCTCGAACCATTGACCTTCTTACTGTGAGCATTTACAAAAGGCATTTGCGCCCACGGATCTGCCGCTCACTGGATATTTCCTCTTATTCTAACCATTCTCTGTAAACCCTAGATATGGTTGTGCATGAAAATCCCAGTAGATCAGCAGTTTCTGAAATACTCAGTCCAGCCCTTCTGGCACCAACAACCATGCCAGGCTTAAAGTCACTTAAATCACCTTTCCTCCCTATTCTGATGCTCAGTTTGAACTGTAGCAGATCATCTTGATCATGTCTACGTGCCTAAATGCACTGAGTTGCTGCCATGTGATTGGCTGATTAGAAATTTGCGTTAACGAGCAGTTGGACAGATGTACCTAATAAAGTGGCCGGTGAATGTATATGTATGTATATATATATATATATATATATATATATATATATATATATATATATATATATATATATATATATATATATATATATATATATTCTTTTTTGTCACAATGAGGTAGTCCTCATCCTCAAAGACACACACACACACACACTAAACTGGTCAGCACCTGTTTTGTGTTGATACTGACCTCTGTTGTAATGCTTACAAAACAAACCACAAAACCAGGTGTTTGTGTGTGTGTGTGTGCTCGCACGTGTGTGTGTGTGTGTGTGTGTGTGTGTGTGTGTGTGTGTGTGTGGTTCTCCATAACACGTGAATATTATTTGTCATAGTTTTGTGGACCCGATTACAGTATTTGGTAAATAAACAGAATTAGTTCTCATTTAAGCAGAGACAATGTGAGTGTTTATTACACACGAGGACACGCAATACAGACTAACTGTGTTTTTAATATAAGATTAATTAAAATTACTGCAAAAAATGTTTTAGAAATAAATATTAGACTTTTTGCTGACTTTAACTTTTTCATTCATTTATTCATTCATTTTCTTTTCGGCTTAGTCCCTTTATTATTTGGGGGTCGTCACAGCGGAATGAACCGCCAACTTATCCAGCACATGTTTTACGAAGCAGATGCCCTTCCATGTGCAAACCATCACTGGGAAACACCCATACACTATGATTCACACACATACATTATGGACAATTCAGCTTACCAAATTCACTTGGGAGGAAACCCACGCTAACACGGGGAGAACATGCAAACTCCACACAGAAATGCCAACTGACCCAGTTGAGGCTCAAACCAGTGACCTTCTTGCTGTGAGGCGACAGTGCTACCCACTGCGCCACCGCATTGCCCCTACAATATTTTTGTTTATTTATTTATGAAAACTGTCAAACATTACAGTATTTTTCTGCAGTAAAAATGTCTAAACATGCTTCCTGGAAATAAAACTATGCTAGAAGGAAGATCATTTATTCATTGCAGGAGATTTATTCTGCTGATTTCGATATATAGCAAGTATAATAATCTGATTATTAACTCATATTATTTCTCTTATTAATTTAATGTAATTAATTACCAATGGTTACATTTACAGGTTTGCATATTTTCTTGCATAGCAGTACTCATAATAATAATAATAATTATTATTATTATAACCATTTTAAAACAGGTCTGCATTTTATGTGTTTATGCTTTTAAGAAATTAAGTAAGTTTTTCAAATTCAAATAGTTTAATTTCTAATTTATTTAAATTTGTAAAATTTGACATCTTAATATATATATATATATATATGATATGATATATGATAAAAGTCTTGTCGTTGATCTCAGTTGTAAGAGAAGCAAATAATCACTTGACTTCTAGTTGGTCATTTGGAAAAGAAGTGGCAGAAGGTCGGTTTTTCTGATGAATCATCTGTTGAGCTGCATCCCAATCATCACAAATACTGCAGAAGACCAACTGGAACTCGCATGGACCCAAGATTCTCACAGAAATCAGTCAAGTTTGGTGAAAAAAAAATCATGGTTCGTGGTTACATTCAGTATGGGGGTGTGCGAGAGATCTGCAGAGTGGATGGCAACATCAACAGCCTGAGCTATCAAGACATTTGTGCTGCAAATTACATTACAAACCACAGGAGAGGGCAAATTCTCCAGCAGGATAGCGCTCCTCCTCATACTTCAACCTCCACATCAAAGAAGCAAAGAAGGTGAAGGTGCTCCAGGATTGGCCAGCCCAGTCACCAGGCATGAACATTATTGAGCATGTCTGGGGTAAAATGAAGGAGGCATTGAAGAAGAATTCAAAGTATGTTGATGAACTCTGGGAGTCCTGCAAGAACGCTTTCTTTGCCATTCCAGAAGACTTTATTAATCAGTGATTTGAGTCTGAGATGTATGGATGCAGTCCTCCAAGCTCATGGGAGTCAGACACAATATTCATTATTTTTCCACTGCAGCATGACTTTATATTCTATACTGTAAATTATTTCTGTTAAGTGACAAGACTTTTGTCTAAGCAAAGTCAGACCTTACTGTCCTAATGAAATCAGTAAAAATCAAGGCATGATCATATTTTATTTTGGTCAAATAAGTGTAATCTAGAGGCATTTTGCCTTTCATATAAGCCACTTCTAATACTGAATGATCAACTAGAAGTCAAGTTATTATTTGGTGTTTCTAAAACTTGGGCACATTTAATCCAAGGCATATGTGTGTGCATGCAGGTGTGTGTGTATTTAACATATAGATGAGTGGTGTTTTGTGTTCATGTCAACGATGCATTAGTGTGTATGTGTGTGTGCGTGACAACAGCTTTGTCTTTCCTCTGGCGTCTGAAGCTGGCTGTACAATAATAGATGACATCATTGATTTAAACAGCTGGGTGTTTTTCACTGGTGTTGTTTAAGTGTCACGATGCCCCTTTGGATCTGTTAACATGTTTCACAAATGTCGATGCGTAACTCAGTGTTCAGCTCTCAGATCAGCGCAGAGATCCAATCAGCTAATGAACGTCAGTCAGCTGATAAACATCACATCACTGCTGCTTTAATTAACTATAGAGGAGAAGGAGAGAGATTCAGCTGACACTGACACACACACATAACAATATATACACATACAGTGCATCCGGAAAGTATTCATAGCGCTTCACTTTTTCCACATTTTTTATTGTTTCAGGCTTGTTCCAAAATGGATTAAATTAATTTATTTCCTCAAATTTCTACACACAATACCCCATTATGACAATGTGGAAAAAAAAGAGTTTGTGAAATTGTTGCAAATTTATTAGAAATAATGAAAAATCAGATGTACATCAGTATTCACAGCCTTTGATCAATACTTTGTTGATACACCTTTGGCAGCGATTACAGCCTCGAGTCTTTTTGAATGTGGTGCCACAAGCTTGGCACATCTGTCTTTGGGAATTTTTGCCCATTCCTCTTTGCAGTACCTCTCAAGCTTTATCAGGTTTGATGGGAAGCGACAGTGTACAGTCATTTTCAGATCTCTCCAGAGATGTTCAATAGGATTTAGGTCTGGGCTCTGGCTGGGCCACTCAAGGATATTCACCAAGTTGTCATGAAGCCACTTCATTGATATTCTGGCAGTGTGATTTGGGTCATTGTCCTGCTGGAAGTTGAACCGTCGCCCCAGTCTGAGGTCAAGAGGTTTTCATTCAGGTTGTCTCTGTACATTGCTGCATTCATCTTTCCCTCTATCCTGACTAGTCGTCCAGTTCCTGCTGTCCTAAAAAACATCCCCACAGCATGATGCTGCCACCACCATGCTTCACTGTAGGGATGGTATTAGCCTGGTGATAAGTGGTGCCTGGTTTTCTCCAATTGTAACGCCTGGCATTCTCTCCAAAGAGTTCAATTTTAGTCTCATCAGAGCAGAGAATTTAGTTTCTTATGGTCTGAGAGTCCTTCAGATGCCTTTTGGCAAATTCCAGGCGGTGAGTGGCTTCCGTTTGGCCTCTCTACCAAACAGGCCTGACTGGTGGATTGCTGCACAGATGGTTGTCCTTCTGTAAGGTTCTCCTCTTTGCACAGATAAAAGCTGGAGCTCAGACAGAGTGACCATCGGGTTATTGATCACCTCCCTGACTAAAGCCCTTCTCCCCACGATCACTCAGCTTAGATGGCCGGCCAGCTCCAGGAACATCTTCCACTTATGGATGATGGAGGCCGTTGTGCTCAATGGAACTTTCAGAGCAGCAGAAATGTTTCTGTGACCTTCCTCAGCCTTGTGCCTCAAAACAATCCTGTCTCGGAGGATTCTTTTGTCTTCATGCTTGGTTTGTGCTTTGGCATGCAATATCAACCCTGGGACCTCATATAGACAGGTGTGTGCCTTTTAAAATCATGTCCAATCAACTGAATTGACCACAGGTGAATTTCATTTAAGCTGCTGAAACATCTCAAGAATGATCAGTGGAAACAGAATGTAGCTGAGCTCAATTTAGAGCTTCATGGCAAAGGCTGTCAATACTGATGTACATCTGATTTTTCAGGGTTTTTTATTTTTAATAAAGTTTGCAACAATTTCAAAAACTCTTTTTTTTTTCACATTGTCAGAAATGCCAACTGGCCACACTGGGACTCAAACCAGCAACAATGAACCAGATCATCGTGTTGAAAAAAAAATTCCCAGCTTTTATTTACATTTGAACAAAATCTCTCAGCCAGAATTTGCCAGGGGTATGGATAATTTCGGGTTTGACTGTTTATACGGTGTCTGAATACATTTTTGTAGGTATTGTTTAGCCGAAAGATAGACTGAAAAGTTCTTTATTTTTCTGATGTCTGTTGTGTGTCTGTGTCAGGTTTCTCCAGCCTCTCACTGTCGGATCAGATGAGTCTCCTACAGAGCGCCTGGATGGAGATTCTGGTCCTGCGGGTGGCGTTTCGCTCTCTGCCCTGCGACGACAGGCTGCTGTTTGCGGACGATTACATCATGGATGCGGAACAGGCCAAATGTGCCGGTCTGCTGGAGCTGCACACGGCCATATTACAGCTGGTGCGCAGATACAGATGCATGAGTCTGGAGAGAGAAGAGTTCGTCACTCTGAAGGCCATCGCTCTCGCTAACTCAGGTCAGACTTGCTTGCACACACTGATCTCCATGATCGATGTGTAATGCATTTTTACCATACAGCTGAAGTCAGAATGGCTTTCCAAACACATGCATGAATCGGGTAAGCTAAATTGTCCGTAGTGGATGTTTCCCAGTGATGGGTTGCAGCTGGAAGGGCATCTGCTGCGTAAAACGGGCTGGATAAGTTGGCGGTTCATTCCGCTGTGGCGACCCCGGATTAATAAAGGGATTAAGACGGAAAAAAAAATAAATGATTGAATGAATGTTTGCTAGTTGTTTTAGTTTCAAGATCTAAGGTAAACTATTTGCTGTTGCTTTTGGTAGTATGACAATAAAAGTTTGCGCGCACTTGCCGAATAAATCTCTTTCTGATTCTCTAATTTTGGATGCGATTACTCTTTTCCCAGCACTAGTAAAAGTCTGAAATGTTGGTTGATTTCCTCTCTCAGACTCGATGCACATTGAGGACGTGGAGGCGGTTCAGGGTCTTCAGGACGCCCTGCACGAGGCTCTGCTGGATTACGAGTGTGTGCATCACAGTGAGGACCCTCGACGGGCAGGAAAACTCATCATGACTCTCCCGCTGCTCCGCCAAACCTCCGCTAAAGCCGTTCGTCATTTCTGCAGCATCAAACAGGACGGACGCGTCCCAATGCACAAACTCTTCCTGGAGCTGCTGGAGGCCAACATCTGATCCGCAAGCCCATTGGACTGTCAGACTGAGGTGACACTCCCCCTCTCGCACACCATTGGCTGAGGGAGGATTGGTCACAGATACAGGGGAAATTACTTATTAACAATAACACAGGATATACTCCATACGGATACAGTTGGTCAAAATGATTCGCCTCCTGTTCATTTTTTGTGTTTTCTTTTTAAAATATTTACCAAATGCTGTTTAACGGAGGAGGGAATTTTTCACAGTATTTCCTATTATATATTTTTTTTTCTGGAGAAAGTCTGATTTGTTTTATTTCGGCTAGAGTAAAAGCAGTTTTTAATTTTATAAAGTGAAGTTTATTTATAAACTAATTTCGAGAGGATCATGTGCTTATGATTGCTTGCGGCTGGTTCTGCATTATCCAATTTATTATTAACCAATCAGATGATTCCTAAGTTACTATAAATACCAATAATATCCAGCTGCAGGCCCGCAGAACCACACACGTTTTAGGCGCACACAATCTAGGACACACAATCTAGGCAAACCATATATGGTTACGACGGATGTTAAAGTTATAACGTCTTTTTGGACATCGTCATCGATATATTTTGATATATATGGTTAACAAATATTGTACACAATAAACAATAGTGTTTACTTTACTTTATTTTACAAATATTGCGATTGAGACAGCCGAATGGGGAGCATTGTTTCCGATCACCATTCAATATAATAGAGTGAACAGTTTTTAATCAGTCATTATAGCTGATCAGTCATTATTATCTGACAATAATATGGCAGATACTCGTTTGCTGGCCTTGCTGAATGATCTCATTTGGACAGGTTTAATTTATATAATGGATTAATTTATGATGAAGGAAATAATAGCAAGTTAATATAGGCAATAATACATTATATGTAATAAAAATCTTTTTACATGTAACAAATGTATAACACTATATTAATATTTTACTCAAGCGATTTAATAGTGTTTATAAACTAATGTATTAGCTTAATTTTCTAATAACCTTTTAATTAATGATTTCCCACATTTAAAACTATTTAAAAGTAATTTAATACTACAGTAATAGGAAACAAATAGGAACAAATTAACTATTCATAAAAAATCATAAGTGGGTATATATAAAATCATAAGTGGGTATATATATATATATATATATATATATATATATATATATATATATATATATATATATATATATATATATATATATATATATATATATATATATATATAAAACACCTTTAACAGTGACAGTTTAGTAAAAGATAGTAGTTTATATATAAACTTTTAATTATAATCAGTTAAGATAATCAGTTTATAACTATATATATATATATATATATATATATATATATATATATATATATTGTTTGAATGGTTAACTATAGTAGGCTAATTTTTTTTTAAAGTGACATATTATTGTTTGCTTTTTATACCAAGTATAATAATATTAAGAGCTTGAATTAGTTTATTACACTTAATCCAACAATTAGACGGTCTATTATGTTTTCTTTGTGTATCTGGACACATGAATAAAGTCATAAGTTTCTTTAACCAATTATTTTTATTTACATAATTTAAGTTCAAAAACTGCAGAGATGTTAAAATGATCGTTACGATATAATAATAATAATGACTGAAATGGGAAACCATATTTGTGAAATTCAATAGATGGCGACAATGCTAAAGAGTTAGTTACCATATATGGTTTGCCTAGATTGTGTGTCCTAGATTGTGTGTGCCTCAAACGTGTGTGGTTCTGCGAGCCTGCAGCTGGATATATCTCATAAATACCCTAAGCTTCATATAACAGCCATCTTCGTTTTGAAGAATCCCCCTTCCACTCCTCCTTTCCCAGATGGGTGGCACGGTGGCCCAGTGGTTAGCACTGTTGCCTCACAGCAAGAACGTCACTGGTTCTACTCCTTACCAAGCCAACTATTGTTTATTATAGTTATTAAATTTTATTATAGTTATTATGTTTAGAAATAGGTTGAAAAAAAAAAATCTTCTCTCCGTTAAACAGAAATTGGTAGAAAATAAACAGGAGGGCTAATAATTCTGACTTTAACTGTAGTTGAGGATGATTAATACATGTCAAAGGTATCAAATATACAGCAAATGAAGAGACCATTGAATGTTTTCTGGATTTACTCAGTTTGGTAGGTTTGGGGTTTGAGTAAACAGTTCATATTTGTTTGATTCTATAAAGGTCTGAGAACATTTCTTCCAAATATTTCAAATAGAAATATTGTCATTCAGAGAATTTTATCTCTAAAATGATTGAAAGTCAGTGGTTATTAAGCCTATTATTAATTTCTTAAGGTCTTGTGAAATTAAATATTTATTATTATTTTTTTATGTTAGTATTAGTAACTGCTTAATTAGTATTGGTACTCTGCTTCAACTGGTGTTGTGTTGTTAAAAAATTAATGGAAACTAGTGATGGGTCGTTCATGAACGATTCGTTCTTTTTGAACGAATCTTCAATATGACTCGGGAACTGCGAGTCCTCTCAGGGAGTGATTCGTTCATCTGCGCGTGCGCACATTTGTGCAGGTAATATTGTTAATTTCAAGTCTTCATCACATTGGCAGAAGCAAATCATATGCGTTTAGAGCCGGAAAAAGAATTGATCCGCTCACCTCTCGAGTCCTCTATCAGGTCTGAGTCATTCGTTCATCACAGGCCAATCATACGCGTTTAGAGCCGGAAAAAGAATTGATCCGCTCACCTCTCGAGTCCTCATATCGGGTCTGAGTCACTTGTTCATCACGGGCCAATCATACGCGTTTAGAGCCGGGAAAAGAATTGAACCGTTCATCTCTCGAGTCCTCGGGTTTGAGTCATTCTGTGCATTGATTAAGATTATATGTGACTGTCAGTGTAACGTGAATAAACCCCTGACATTTAAAGACATGAAGAGGTGAGCTGAGCAAAGAGACAACAATACCTTCATAGACAAAAGAGCAGGTCAACACTGAATTATTATTTTCTCCTTCATATATTCTATTTATGATTTATTTGTCGTGCGATCAACCTTTTGGGCTTGTTATAGATGTGTTTGGAAGCCATTCGTAACATTTTAATAATATTTTGGCAAACTGAACCAAATGAACGAAATGACTCGAAAAAAGATTCGTTCATCTTGATGAACGAGACTCAAAGATCCGAGTCAGTAAAATGATCCGAACTTCCCATCACTAATGGAAACACATAATGTTTTTGTCACGTTGACCATTTATCAGTAACAGATGCTTCAGGACAAAACAAAAATAATGTTTTACTCAAACACATCTATAAATTCATTGTGAATCCAGAAAAGTGAGAATTTGTGCACTACTGTTTTCATTTCTTTTTATAAAACTGAAATGAATGAAACTGACCACATGTGATGCTGAAGACATTTGTAATGTTATAAAAAGTGCTACATCTGTCAAAAGAATGCACATTAGACTGATTTCTGATCATGTGATAGTGAAGACTGCAGTAATGATGCTGGAAATTCAGCTTTTCACCAGAGAAACTAATTAGTTTTTCAAATATATTCAGATTGAAACCAGTAATAGCAGTTAGTAATGATCTTTCACAGTATTACTGGTTTCATTGCTTTTTCTTATCAAATAAATGCTGCTTTGCTGAGCTGAAGAGACTTCTTTTAAACAAAGTTGAAGACAAAATTATATTATTTTTATTACATTTAAATTAATTAATAATTTAGTAATTTCCAATGGGGCTAATAATACTGATCACTGCAGTATGTATATATATATATATATGTATATATGTATATATATATATATATATATATATATATATATATATATATATATATATATATATATATATATATATATAAGTATAAATAATAAGTTTACCATAATAAAGAAAGAAATGTCTCTGTATATGTGAGGACTTATCAATCTCGCCTGTGTTTGTCTGTTTAATAGTGAGCATGATCACTCTACTAATGTTTCCTAGAATCTCCTATATGAATATCCACTGTCTCACTTCTCTGTGAGATTTTCAACAATTTTTTTTTTCTTGTTGTTGTTGCTTGTATGACGCTCTCATGTAAAATAATGTTTTTTCCTCCCCCGATCTGTTGATTATATGTCTTTTTTTATTTTTAAATAAAGGCTAAAATGTGATCTGAATTCCGTGAAGTTCTGTGAATTCATCTTTGGTTTGAAGATTTTCCAGCATGTAAATCTGTTTGGAGAGCAAACACTGCTTACGTTCGCAAAACATCAAGTCAGTTTGTGTTCAGGCACAGAAATGATCTAATTACATGATTTATTTGTGGATTATTTGTCTGTTTGTTTTCTTATCAAATGCATGACAAATAAACACACACACACAGGCATGTATTTGACTTCTATCACTGAGGGACCATTAGATATTCTTGTACCATAAAATAAGGGCATTTCACTAGTGTTCTGGTTGCTTTCTAAGTTGCCATGTGGGTGCTATGGTGTTATGCTCAGTCGTGGAATTTTAAAGAGCCCATATGATGCATTATAAAAGGTCATATTTTGGTTTTGGGGGTTTCTAACAACAGGCTGACATGCATGCAAGGTCAAAAAACACTTTCCTTGTCTTATAATATCCATCTTTTTTTTACCTAATTATTCCAACAACTCCCATATGATTTATTCAGATGATTCATTTTTTTCCCCGAACCTCAAATCACCCATCAGATCATTTATTATGGCCTTTTGAATATGGGATTTTGGAGGAAGATTACATTGTAGCTGTTTTGGTGCCTGTGCCTTTAAATGCAAATGAGCTTGTTCTTCCCACCCACCATTCCCACATGCATCTGCTGCATCACACAAACAGCAGTCAGTAGCGAGGTTATATAATAGTTTTGGATTTCCTATTAGTTTTAGTATTTCGTTTTGACTTTTTGTTTTTAAATTCAGATCGTTTTAATTTGTTTTTGGAGGCAGATTTACTCGTTTTTATTATTCATTCATTTTCTTTTCGGCTTAGTCCCTTTATTAATCCGGGGTCACCACAGTGGAATGAACCGTCAACTTATCCAGCACGGTTTTATATGCAGCGGATGCCCTTCTAGCTGCAACCCCTCTCTGGGAAACAACCATACACACTCATACACTACAGACAATTTAGCCTACCCAATTCACCTGTACCGCATGTCTTTGGACTGTTCGGGAACCCAGAGGAAACCCACACAAACAGAGGGAGAACCTGACCCAGCCGATCTC